ATCTATCTATCTACCTATCTAGCTCCATCTCTTTGTATCCCCATATTTATCTTTTCCATGTATCTCTCCTGGCTACCTACCTATATCCATCCATGTCTTTCCATCCATCCATCCCTTCCTCCATTTATCCATCTCTCTCTATCTCCATTTCTATCTCTAACCCTGTCCTCAAACAAGCATTTTTCCAGTATTTCTGTTCTCCCTCAACTATTTCAAAAGAAAAATAAAAGAAACACAATGAATCTCACAATGGCTTGACCCATTGGTGTTTAGTGCAACATTTCTGAAGATGTTGTTTTTCCCAATGGAGCATCTATTTCTGAGCTATATATGCTATTTTCCACCTTCTACACTTTAATGATTTTATTAGTTAAACCTTTCAAAAAAGGTTTTGAAAAGATTATGAGGAGCGCTGTTATTAATGCCTTACAGCTATTATCAGTAATTAAGCCTTTCTATTTCTCCCCTTTTTTATTTAATTAAGAAAAATGAGAAAAATATACACTCTATTATACAGTTATATACTTCCAATTAAGTTCAAGCATGTCGTATGGAACCTAACACAGCTGCCCTAGCCAGAAAAGGTGCTAATAATATTTGTTTTTAAATGAGCTACTTAAAGGCAACCTATAAAGAACACACTCAAGAAGTATTTTTCATAGCCACAGAAATCAGAACCAAAAAAATAACAATTTTAAGTCGCAGTTACCAAAATTTCATTTAAATAGGAAGAAAAGCCTCATGGTGGTGAGATACAGTGTCAAATTGTGGAATATTATTATTCCTACGGAAGTTGTGGATTCTCTGATTCTGAGGGTTTTATTTATTTTTATTTATTGATCAAACATTGAAAACCACCCATCTATCCCACAGAGAGACTCTTAACGCTCCCTTGATGTCTATCTCTCACAGATGGTTTAATTAGTTTTCCTGCATATTGTAGAGGGGTGGATTAGATTATCCTTATGACCTTTTCTACAATTCTGAGATTAAAATGGATCCAAGTGAAATGCCACAGTGGAAGACTCAAGCAGCTCACTATACTTTATATTTTAATATTTGGAAATATATTTTTTTCCAGTAAGGATAGGTAGGTAGGTAGATGACAGACCAGAGGTCTCCAAACTTGGCAACTTTATGACTTGTGGACTTCAACTCTCAGGGAGTGGAAGTCCACAAGTCTTAATGTTGCGAAGTTTGAGGACCCCTGTGACAGACAGACAGACAGACAGACAGACAGACAGTGTGATGACCCGGAGTGTAACACAAACATAACAAAATCCAAAACGTAAATAAATGTCCTTTAATGCCTCCAACTTGGCCCCACTGTTCAATAATTCTCAGTTGGAGATAAAATGTACTCAAAAATAGTCTTCAAAAGAAAGCAATACAGTCCAAACTTAATGAGCAGATAAAGGTGAAATAAAAAAGCAAACCAACTACAATGACAAAATTTCCACAACGGACCAGGATAAGTAATTACCAAATTCAAAGAGATAACAAGGCACAGTCTGTTGGAAGGATACCAGCCAAGATAACTTCAGCCCAACACACACTTTGCTTCTGGCAACACTGTGTTGTAATCGTCTGTCTTATATACTACTCTCCCCAGCTGCAACCAATGAAGGGAATCATGGCCGCCTCCTCTCCCGTAAGCCAAGTTGTTTTCTTCTCCGTTCCTCCCTGCATGTCCTAGGATGAAGAGGGGATGGGCCTGGTTCGTCCTCTGACTACCCAGCCAGCCTCTGCCCTTCCCCAGCCTCCTCCACAACCTCCGGAGCCATACCTCCACTCCCTGTTGGTTGTTCCTCTCTCCCTCAGAGTCCGTCTCTACCAAGGGCATGACAGATAGATAGACTCTCCCTCCCTCCCTCCCTCCCTATCTATCCCAAGGATGGTTAGATCTGGCCTATGGGACTGCCCTGGAAACAATGAAGGACCGGCCTGCGGTGCCTCTACCAGTGAAAACGGAGCTTGGGCAGGCCGCAGGTGCCCTCCAGGCTCCATTTTCACTGTCAGAAGGTTGCAGGAGGCCTTTGCGACTGAAAACGGAGCCTCGATGAGTGATGTGGAGCTGGCCACACACACACACCCAGCCCCCCTGTGGTCCAACACAACCCTGATTCGGCTCTCAATGAAATCACGTTTGACACCCTTGATAAGACAGATTTCAACGGATCTGAAGAAGGAGCAACTGGATTTTGAAATGTAAGGTTTAACAAAGATGACAGGAGCTAATAACTACCAGAGCAGTGTCTTCTGAAGCAGGTGATATAGAAATGTCCTCATACATAAATAACCAACCAACCAACCAACCAATGGAATCCCTCCGTGTGGCCTTTCTGGTTCTTACCTTCTAGTTCTTTGGGATCTGCCTCTGATCCAGTTGCAGTTCCAGTCAACACAACCCCATCAGCAAGAAAGAACTCAGCAGCCTTCGCGGTGTCGGCCACTGTGACGTCAGCTGTCAGTGTATGAGCACTGGGGAGAACATGGATACAACTTTTGTAAAGTTATCTAAGGCCACTTTACTCATTAACTCTCTTCTTATACCAATTCCTTATACTTTCCTTGATTTGATAAATCAAGGACAAGTGCAATGGCATTTGCTGATTAGTTGTTGCCAAAACATAAGAGAGCCAGAAGGTGCTGGCATAGAAACCAGGAGACGGTGAGTTCTAGGCCTCCCTCGGGTATGAAAGCTGGCAAGGTGTCTTTGAGCCAGTCCCTCTATCTTGGTCCAGCCAATCTCACCGAGTTGATTTCGTGAACATAGGAGGTAGGAATACTAGATATTAGATATATGAGGATATGATCTCCACTTTGAGTCATCTGTCTGTCTATATATGTCTAGATCTATGTCTATATTTATTTATCATCCATCCATCC